GTACAGGGAGCTGTTGGTTTGAGGATGAGGGTGTACGGTCGGATTTTTTGCTTTGTGAATTGCCACTTTGCTGCGCACTTAGAGGCTGTCAGTCGTCGTAATGCCGATTTTGATTATGTATATCGAACCATGGTTTTTAGTCGACCATCTGGTTCCTTGAATACTGCAGCTGGTATGATTATCACCTGTTATTCTCTTGCTTGCTCGCATACTCGATATACTTGTTTTGGCTTCGTTATTGCTTATGCTTGCCCTTGGTCTCGTGTTGCAGCTGGTGTCTCAACTGCAGTTCAAGTTGTTCGCAATGCTAATGTATGTGTATGTTAACTTTTTAGTTGACCATCCTCAGAGTGTCTTTCTAAATTATATCCTTTTTATTTGACTGATGCAGTCTCATGTCTTTAAGTAACTTCTCATTGGTAAGCTTAAGGAAAAGTAAAAATCCTCTATACCTGGCAGGTTACGGGTATATACTCTGTTGAGGGGATGCTCGAGCTATCTGAGGCCGACATGGTTGTTTTTCTGGGTGACTTGAATTATAGGCTTGATGGTATATCTTATGATGAAGCAAGGGATTTTATTTCCCAAAGATGCTTTGACTGGCTTAGAGAGAAGGATCAGTTGCGAGCAGAAATGAAAGCTGGCAATGTTTTCCAGGGGATGCGGGAAGCTGTTATCAAATTTCCTCCTACATATAAATTTGAGAGGCATCAGGCTGGTTTATCAGGTAGCTTTTAGTAGAGATGTTAGCTTAGAGCAGCAGCCTGGCTGCATTTTTTTAACTTGAATGCTCCCTGGTACCTTGTGAGAAATTTTAAATGCTTTTTGAATGGTCAGAATGAAGTTTATCTGGATCTTATTCCTTTTTAAGGTTATGATTCTGGTGAAAAGAAACGCGTTCCTGCCTGGTGTGACAGAATTATGTACCGTGACAGTCGTTCAGCTCCAGTGTCTCCTTGCAGCTTAGAATGTCCTGTAGTCTCATCTGTTTTGCAGTAAGTTTTCTGGAAGCATGTGTCTTTGGTATATGTATGCTGAACTTCCTGAATAACTAATATTTGACCGCTTATTAAACCCATGGTGTCCTTTGGAGTGAAACAAGATGTCACCTCATACACAAGTTTCACGGTTTGTGTCTGGTGTTAGTTTTTTTCAACTTTTATGTTGATCACCTTGTTTTTTTTTCGTTTAGCATACTTCTGTGGGTTTACTGTACATGCTTCTCTCTCTCTCTCTCTCTCTCTGATGCGTGTATGTGACATGCAGAAGGCTCTGTATCCGAATGTCTTCATTGTATTTATCTGCTTGGAATTTACAGAGTTTTCTTCATTTGTCTAGGTATGAAGCTTGCATGGATGTTACAGACAGTGATCACAAGCCTGTCCGTTGCATATTCAGTGTGGAGATTGCTCGAGTTGATGAGTCTTTGAGGCGACAAGAGTTTGGAGAAATCATTGAATCCAATGGGAAAATCAAGCAATTGCGAGAAGAGCTATGTAGAATTCCAGAAGCAATTATGAGTACAAACAACATAATCCTTCAGAACCAGGATGTATCTATCTTGCGTATAACAAATAAATCTGGAAGGACGAAAGCTCTTTTTGAAATAATATGTGAAGGTCAGTCCACCATTAAGGATGATGGACAGGCTTCCGATCATCGTCCTAGAGGTTCTTTTGGTTTCCCTCAGTGGCTTGAGGTAATTTCCTGTTAATATTATTGTTACCATTATTATTATTGCTACTAATACTATTACTATGATTATTAGTATAATGGTTACTAATATTATTTATCATTCCTATTGTTTTAGTATTATTTTTACTATTACTATTGCTCATATATTTAAGTGTCTTCAAGGAAATCATCTCTATTTTTTATGCTAAACCTTTTTGTGGTTGCAGTGATGGTCTCATTATTCTTTAGACTAGGTAGGGAAATTATCAGGCACTCATAAAACAATTTTCCACTTATCATGATTTTTCCAAGACTCGCTTCTTTGTTTCAGTACAAATATGCTAATCGGTAGTGTGGTTTTTACTTTGATTCTCTCAGCATGTTATGCTTTTCGTATGTGCTTGACATCTCTTCAACATAATCCATGTGTCATTTAGGCTTATTGTCCTTGGTAGCCTGCCTTTCAGGGTATAAAGTTTGGGGCTCTGGCCCTTATAGAATAAAGATGATGTTACTGCATTATGTTTATCACAGTAATTGATTTCAGATATTTTAGGGCTGTGATTAGCGCAGTTGAAAATTACAAGGCTAAGATCCTTGAGCTTGTGATTTGCGGATGATGGTAGTTGCTGTATGCATTTAATGTCCTCCTTTGGCTGTCTATTGATTTTGAATTGTCAAGGTCCAACTTAGCCAGTGACTTATTGATTCTGAATTTTTTTAAATTATTTTCCATTTTATAAGTTGCATATTCTCCTTTCTAAATGACCAAATTTCAATGGAATCTGATTGAAAGGAAGTGTGCTATTTTTTTGGTCATGGAAATTGTCAAGTTGTAGCTGTATTTCTCATAGCTACAGTTTTTTAATATCACAAAATTTCATGCCTGCTGGAAAAGTAATTAGTTTGCATTTTATGTTTAACCAGGTCACTCCAGCTGCTGGCATAATCAAACCTGATCATATTGCTGAGATTTCAGTCCATCATGAAGAATATCAGACACTGGAAGAGTTTGTTGATGGTACCCCACAGAATTCGTGGTGTGAAGATGCTAGGGATAAGGAAGTAATATTGGTAGTAAAGGTGCGCGGCAGCTTGTCAGCTGAGGCCAAAAGTCACCGAATTCGTGTGAGACACAGCTTTTCAGGCAAGCCTAGGCGTATGAATCAGAGAATAAATAATCCTAATCCTCCCCCATCCAATGTCCTTTATCGATCTGAATTCCAGCGCCTTAGTGGCACCTCTGATGTCGTTGACCAACTAAGGAATCTGCACAGTCCTTGAATGTGTAAGGCCATTCTAGTAAACCAAAAGTGCTGGTTGGTCTCTGCTCGTTCAAACCAATTTTGTCATATTCTTCTCATGTACATACCTGCAGATATGGACATGGGGACGCTCCATTCTCCTGCAGCATTGATCTCCTTGAGCATATTTTCATAACTAGAGTCAATCTGAAAATACATCTACCTTGTGAATTTTTGCCCTCCAATTTTTGGACCTTCCCGTCTGTCCATAGAATACCAAAATCCAGTGTGTCTCGAAGCTGTACCTTGTTAGTATATGACTGACTTGTTTGCTCTTTTGAAATGCCTAGTTTGATACCTAGTTTTCTTGTACATCTGCAGAGAAAGTGAGGGCTCGAGAAGTGTTTTTAGTTGTTTCCAGCTCTCTGTATTGCCTTTCATTTTTTTCTTTTTTCTTTTTGGTCCACAAAATATGTGACTTCTTAGTTGAAGCTGTATTGTAATCACAATTGTTTTGTCTGATAATATGTGACCAGGAAAGGTCGCCAGCATAGAAATTTTGGGTCGGATCATCTTTTGTAAAGAATGCTAATAATTTTTGTCAGACTTGAGTAATAACTTATGCTTTTTTTTAAAAAAAAAATTTTGCTTTTCTTCATGTAATTCAAACTGCATTCTTATTTGTTTTTTCCTTTTTAAACCTGGAGCAGGAACATCATGAATTCTACCTAGCTCCATACACTAGTTTCCATCTTTTCAATATGACAACTTGCTCAAAGATTTTCTTGTGTACGCCCTATAGAAATGAAATGTTTTCATTTTGTTGATGAACGATGGGAAAAATGGGTTGGACCTGACTTTTCTAGCCATCATTTAAGGATGATCTGAATATTTTGACGTACCTCACATTTTGCTAAATAAATTTAAGAACATAAACTTGGATAAAATTGCTTTTTCTTGCTTGTTCATTTTGAGATAATACAATATGCTGGCTAAATTAGCATTCTCGTGGATTTATACAAAAAAAAAAAAAAAAAAATTCATTTTGACTTCTACACTTTCGATGAGGATACATATTAAGAATTTTGAAACTCTTAGTAGCTCGATCAAAATATCTCTTCACTAACACATTGGGAAGAACAAAAGTCAAACAATTGAAATGGGAACCCATTCTTGAAAACTTTATGATTCGATCTAACAACAATAAAAATATAAAAATAAAAAGGCACAAAGGAAAACCAAAGATGTTGAAACAACATGATCACATAATTAACCAATTGGCCATCAGAGTAGAGACTGGTCCCTCCCTGGCGCGGCATCAGGGTCGAAACCCCCTTGACTGCGTTTTCTCTCCAGAATTTTCTAAAGTACTGATTAAAAATTATTTAACTCTCTTTGAATCTCTCAATGGATTAGATAGGTTCATCTTCCTCGTTTTTTACCTATCCAATATAAAATTAACCGTAACAATGTTGTACTAAAAAAAAAGAAAAGATGATTACATAATTAATAACGTGTTGACATTGAGAATTAAGATAAAAGGTTAGCAATAAATAAATAAGTAAAGGGGAAAAAAACTTGGGTTTAAACGCAGGGCAGCATTTAGATAGGCAACTAGCCAACCACCCCGCCTACAGAGTACAGGCTACAGACTGTCATTGCCCAACGCTTTGTCCCAAGTTTCACTCTTTTAGGAGATATAAAGTTATTGCCCCCGGGGTTAGATCACCCGGTCTGCGGCTGGAAAACCACTCGCAAGGTCGTGGGATCGAACCTCACCTAACGCCTGGGTGCGGTTGGGGTAGCGCTGTACTCCAGGCGCAGGGGATTAGTCGGGCCGCCTTCGGGTCTTGACCCGGACACCCCTGTGTTGACAAAAAAAAAAAAAAAAAAAAAAAAAAGAGATATAAAGTTATTATTTTGAAGCTAAATTTTATCGATTTTATTTTATAAAAAATAAAAAATTATTATTTTAAAAGTCAAGAACAAAAGAATTCATTTAACAAAATACATGACAACTATTTCCCCTTTGTTTAAACTTTACAGCTTATGGATTGGCGCTTGCATTATTGCCTATAGAAACAACACCATAAACAACAAACTTCATACGCCATACTTTATACCATCAATTTCTTGGGGTAAAAAAATGGTGGGGGAGATGGTGGAGAACAAGCAAGTCATATTCAAGGGATACATAGAAGGAGTTCCTAAGGAAACAGACATGGAATTGAAGGTTGGAAACATGATCAAGCTTGAAGCTCCAAAAGGGTCAGGTGCATTCTTGGTCAAGAATCTTTACCTGTCCTGTGATCCATACATGCGTGGCCGCATGCGGGACTTCCAAGGCTCTTACGTCCCTCCTTTCAACCCTGGTTCAGTTAATTCCTACAACTGATATGCTTTTTACACGTTTTACTTTTTTTTTCTTTTCTTAACTCCCGAATATAAGTATTAAGTAGTGCTATGCTTTGCTTGTTTAACTCGTATTGCAGTCATACTTTTGTTTCTTTTTTTTACTACTGATGCTTAGTTTAAGTTTCGTTAAGAATAATTGATGCAAACGTAGCCATTCTCTGATCGTGGAAGCCCTGTAATCTGGCTTTGCCCTTTAAAATGTTGCTGTAAATTGTGATTGTCTGCAGAGGTAAAGTTGACTTGTTCTTAGGTATTAAGTATTATTTTTGAGAATATCCAGAACTAGGACTTTGTGTACCGAGAGATTTCTACACTTGAAGGTTGTTAGGCTCTCTGCTTGTGTCAAAATTCATTTCTGGGCATAGGAAAATGCTAAATTCCTGATACACACTAGAGTAGTTGGATAGTGGTCTAATATGGTTGACTTTTTCCAGTTTAGGACTTGATCTGTACAATGATAATAAAAATCTTGTTGCAAAAGTCAATTCCTGTCCAAGAAATAGAAAAGAATTATCTGATTGTATTGAACAACTACAGTCCTTCAGATTTCCAATTATGCTGTCAATTTTTAGGTGTTGCTAAAACTTGAAAAGGCACAGAATCACAACATTACTAAATGTATATGGGATGATTATGCCCAAAGTTTAATGCTGTAGAACATTAGGGGTGACTGCAATCAACGTAGCTCCTCTGAAGATCATCAACAAAATTAGTTTTTTAATAACATCCAAAATGCCCTTAATGTCCCGATTCCTTTTCACTTGGAAGCATATATTAACCATTCCAAAATATAAATTATGTGGAATTTCTTTCTTACCATTTTTTTTAATCACCTAAGAAAGACATTGATGTGGTATCTCAATCAAGTGACTATCAAAGTTGAAGTATGCATCTACATGTTGCTGCTTTTATTCTTCATTCTTCTATTTGCAGTCAGAGTTCTTCTGATCCGTAGCCTATTCTTGAGAAGTAGATATATACAATTATTTCTTCAGCAATCATAGGAATGTCCAACAGTCACATTCCATTGCTGAAATTAACCAGGTCACAGTAGTGCTAATACATTCTGTTAGAATCTGGACATTCTGAAATGACAGTAGTGCTAATCATTGCTGAAATGACATTCTGTTAGAATCTGGACATTGAAAAATAGCAAAGAGTCTGCAATACATATGGTGTCATCTGTTCATTATGTATGAATTTTGCATTTGATGTCAGCTTTAGTGTGTTGCCAACTCAGCAGTGCTAACTGCTCTTTCTTTGGTTGTAGGTTATTGAAGGATTTGGTGTGTCTGAAGTTTTAGATTCTGATAATCCAAACTTAAGGCCTGGTGACTTGGTCTCAGGACTTACAGGGTGGGAGGAGTACAGCTTAATTTACAAAACTGAGCAGTTGAGAAAAATAGAGCCGGATGATATTCCCTTTTCCTACTATGTTGGGCTCCTTGGTAGGTCCATCTCAGATCATTAATTGCCTAACCTGTGTTTCTCGCATGCATTTCAAAGCTTCCAGACATGTATAGACTTCCTTGATTGTGTTTGTAACTCTATCTGGATATAGTTAAACATGCTTTGTATACCATTAGTTGAACTTGTTTGAAATGGATGGTCTTTAGTATACCACTATTCCCGTATATTGTCCCATAGTCAATCTGGAATGATAATTTCAATTCCTCAGTCAAATTTCTCAATTAGACTTTTTGGGGATTAAGGTGAATGGAAAACCTCGTTTGAATTTGTCCTGTGCTAGATAGATGGTCATGTAATTTTAACAGTCACAAAGAATCCGGGATTTAATGGTATGGAATCATGGCTTGAAGATTCATAATTCCTGCTTGACCAGTTATAGCTAATGCATTCATTTGTAGTAATCTAGATAACTTAATTTCTGGATTGGAAGTATTAATCAACTGTGCTATAGCTTTGGGAGGGTTGTATATTCCTTGAACTTCTGCATAGATATTCAGTGAGACTTTAGTCCTGAACACGATCTGAGATCTTTTACATCTTTCCTAGTTTTAGATTTCAACTCTTCCCAACAAAATAATTGTTTTCTTCCTTTTCCAGTATCCATGTAGCATAGTCTTTTAATATTTTATGTCAAAAACTGTAATACTTACAGCAGCTATGAAACTATAATTTGGGTTCAGGTATGCCAGGCTTTACTGCTTATGCTGGGTTCTACGAGGTTTGTGCTCCCAAAAAGGGGGACTATGTTTTTGTCTCTGCTGCCTCTGGGGCAGTTGGTCAGCTTGTTGGCCAACTTGCAAAGTTGCATGGCTGTTATGTAGTTGGGAGTGCTGGAACAAGTGAGAAAGTAAGTCTCTTGTTGTACCAAGATACCATTCTTTCAGATATTTATGTTTATTTTACTCGTGTATCATGTCAACAGTTCATCTACGTTGCTTAAAACTGTTGGCACCATTTCCGTAGAAGCTGATTTTGCATACCATTAGGTTGATATTCTGAAAAATAAGCTTGGATTTGATGAGGCTTTTAACTACAAAGAGGAACAAGACCTTGATGCAGCTTTGAAAAGGTGAGTGGAAGTGTCAGTTAACAAGCGAATTAAGTCGCACTCTCACTTTTCAATATCTTACTCAGGGGAAAAGCCAGAGCATATAGGTAAAGGCTTTGTTGCTTATTGCGTCTCCCAGTGAACTAGATTATTGTGCCTACTACATTAGTTTCATCATATGTTTAACTTCTCCTTCTGTAGTCCAATCTTGTCACAGTTCAATAGATGATTTTTGTGTCTCGTTCTTATCAAAGCACCTATCCTTTCTTTGAACAAGTCAGTTTAAGTAGTATTTCTTCCCATGTCAAAGTTTTCCAAACAAAATGTTTCAGATCAAACATCACATGCACTTCATTATTTTTATCTTGAAGCACCTTTTTTTTACTTTTAATGATTTACCAATATTACACTGGTCAAATGTCTTAAACTAAAACCATATCCTTATACTCCACTGAGCAGATACTTTCCAGAAGGCATTGATATCTACTTTGATAATGTGGGTGGAGCCATGCTCGACGCTGCTCTTCTTAATATGAGAATTCATGGTCGGATTGCTGTCTGTGGGATGGTGTCTCAGCACAGCATTTCCAGCCCAGAAGGACAACATAATTTGCTTGCCCTGATATCAAGACGCATAAGAATGCAGGGTTTCTTGCAAAGTGATTACCTGCACCTATTTCCTCGTTTTCTGGAAAATGTCATCAGTCTCTACAAGGAAGGGAAGATCGTTTATATAGAGGATATGCATGAAGGACTAGAAAGTGGTCCTGCTGCTTTTGTTGGCTTGTTTTCTGGAAAAAATGTGGGCAAGCAGGTTATCAGAGTTGCCTATCACTAATACAAATCACTACCACTGCCCCTCCTAGAAAATTGAACGCTTTTTGGTCTGCAATTGGATTATGAAATAACAATTCTCAGTACTTTAACTGAGATGAAAGTTCTTGATCTTCTTTTGAAGACACTTGTCTTGTTTCTCTGGAACACTTGTACAAGTTACCTCAGGTTGAAGAAATGTTGGAAATGCTCCTATATGATGTATAGATAGATGGTCTTTTATGCTAAAAAGTAATGCATGCCTGGTATTCAGCAATGTGTATTATCTTTTTCAACTCGCATTGAATTTACAGCATCATTAACATCAAAAAAGGAGTTTGAGAATGAGTGTCATAACTTCTTCTTTTTGTTCTCTTTTTCTTTCTTGGTCTTCTTTCATCCAAAGTTCATCAGGTCCTTTTAAGAGCTTCCCTCAAGTAAAGGGGCACTAAGCAATTAATTAGCCAAAACTAATGAAACCACAAAGAACTTGTCAAGAACATTGTTAGCTGCACAAACGCATCAGAAAGGACGATTGAACAGTCACCCAAACCACAAAGTAGTATTCATATAAACACAGGGTTGTAAAAGTTGTCCCAAATTATTATTTTTTTTAGTTTTTAATAATTTGATCAAGGGATAATATCAGAAACCTCCCCTGAGGTTTCTTCAAATATCACTTAGCTCCCCCCACATTTTAGAAATCTCTCTTACCACCCTTTGAATTGACATTTTCTTAATAATGTCAGCCCCTCTGAGCAAAAGTAACATTAGAATATTGGTTTTGGAGGAAGGAGAGTATTTTAATTCCCCTCATACCCTTAGTTTGACTGAATCCTGTGACATAAAAAAGTTGCAGTAGGTGGAAAATGTGAATTGGAGATAAATTTCCTGGTATGAGCACTGTTGCATGGCCGTTGGACATGCAACGGCTACTTTGAGTGAACCGCATGAAAGGTGAGGGAAAAGCAACGGCTACTTCCAGTGGTATTAAAAGGTGAGGGAACCGCATGAAATAGCTGCAAAACTTAAAGAGGAAAGCAAGCAAAGAAATGGCTAGTTCATCCTTCCAAGGTCAGTCATACAATTCACCTTCATCATTAAGCATGAAGAACCGGTATTGTAAATGCAACCGCAAGGCTACATTACGAATCTCAGAGAGTGAAAGAAATCCAGATAAGCTATATTTTAGTTGTTCAAAGTGCAACTACTTCAAGTGGTATGAAGGAAATGAAGGCGAAGAGTTGCAGAGGCAAAGAAATGGAGGTGAAGAAGTGCAGCGTACAAGAAATGAAGCTGATTCTGCAGTGCTTCCATTGAGGAAAGCAAATCAGGAATGTAACTTTGTGCCTCAATAGAATGCATGCCTCACTTTCTTATTCATCATCAATCTTGTACTCTTAGCAATTTATCTTTTCATTCAAATTGTTAAAGCAATCCCAGTTTCTTGTTCCAGTAATAGTAGATGTGTTCCAAGCTGTTTGGAGCCTTACTGGTCATACATGAAAGAACCAGAAGGCATGTGTAACTTGGACATGATGTTAAGCTATGTGAAAAAGAGTTGAAACTATTTTTTACTTCATACGTATGCCCTCCATATTTGTTGCCTATCAGTGTTATACCAAAAGTCATACTTAACAGAAAATGCATTAAGCTATCAGGTGCAGTTCCTTAGGTACAATGTGTCTCTCCTGCTAAGTTCATTGGAAAACAACAGTACTAGTTTCACACGTAATCCTGAGGAATCAGAGTCATAAAGTTAAAAAAAAAAACACAGCATGACATCTTTGAAGGCTTACAAATTCCATACATAAAGGTAATAAGTCATATGCTCCAAGATCTATGGGTAGCAGCAGAGCATACTTGTGTTGAGGAATGCTGCAATTCCTAAACATAAGTACCAAAACATATGTCTTTGAAGTCGTTCACTAGGACTGGGAATGCAATTAACCACTTGCATCCACATTTACAACTAAACAAAAGTATGTAGCAATCAACAAGAATCTCAGAAAGCATCATCTAAAAACATCATTCTAGATGATGAGGAATGCTACGTATACAAATGTACCAGATCAGTCTCCTAAAGCAAAACTCATAATACTAGTACTAATTAGAACCTCATACTGATGTTGCTATTGTCAATGTGAGATCCCATACCAGCAGAAGTGGATATTGAAGATGCAGTGACTGCTGGAGTTTGTTCTGAGCCAACAGCAATGAAAGGTCTGGCTCTCTTATTAGTGTTAGCAACAGTAGTTCCAACCCCTGCATTTAGCCCTCCTCTCTGAAGCCATGCAACAAATGTTATTAAACTAATGACTGGTCGACAGTTAGAATAGTTAGCAATAGGTGCTGAATCTAATTTCTGATTAACTATACCTTTCTGGTATTAGTACTAGTGCAGGCAGAATGATTAAGTTGAACATGAGCTCCAGCAACATGATTTTGAGTGCTTCCATTACTGCCTTGACTTGATACAATGACTGGGACATTTTCTTGTGCATGTTCCTGACAAATCAGATCCAAAAGCTAAGCTCATTTGCAAGGAATTAATACACATGAAGATACTATAATTTGACATTGCTTCAATTACCCATAGAACAGATCCTGCTAATCCAGTATTGGCAATGCCTCTTCTTGGTTTTCCTCTTCGACTTGCTACCTGATTTGTAGAAGTACTGCTGCCTCTTTTTTCAGCAACAGGAGTTCCTTAACAAGTTCTCCTATTATGTCCAAATCTGCCGCACTTTGAGCACCTGAAACTGATTGATCTCTTGTGTTGAGGTGCAGGAGCTCCTTCATCAGGTGCTCTTCTTCTATTTCTTCTTGGTCTACCAGCTCTTCGTCTAAGTGGTGGTGGCAAAACTACTACTGGTGTCACATCTTCCATTCGAGGCCACCTATTCATATGTGAAATTGGGTTGATCATGAATGCATACATTTTCAAGTATTGATCAATGGAAAAGGCTGCATCACAGTAGTTTTCCAGTTTCTCCCTTCTATAAATAGCTCCTAGTGCAGCATGCTTGCAAGGAATGCCAGTCAACTGGAAAGCCCCGCATTCACATGTCCTCTCAGTCAACTTGACTATATAGGACTTATCATAGTCTGCTACTTCAAACGTGTTGTCACTTGCCATTATCAGTGAACACCTTCTTGATTCAGTTGCAATATCCTTCAACTTGCCAATAACATGTGGAGTAATACTAGATGTCCATGTGCAGCCTTTTTGATATCTCTTATGCAGTTTTTTCATGAATTTTTGCCTCAGTCCTTCAGCCAGAGCAAGTATAATTTTTCCTCTCAGTTCTCCAACTCATGCATTAAAAGATTCTGTAAAATTATTGGTGACATGATCACACTTAATTTCAACAGAAAATGCATGTCTTGCCCAATTACACTTAGGAATGTTTGCCAAGTATCTCCAAGCATCTATATTAATATTTTTTATTCTTTCCATAGTCTCATTGTGTCCTATCAAATCATAACTTTTAGCTGCTTGCCAAAAAAATCTCCTTAGCAGTAATCTTGGAAATTTGACTTTGAAGTTGCAGTAGATGTGCCAACAACAATATCGTGCAGTAGCTTCAGGCATTTGTTCCTCATAAGCAAGGTTGAGTCCCTATACAGAAGTTTCAGAAACAAATTCCTTCAAACACTTGATTCAGCCACTATAACAGCAATGGAGAAAATCTGAAACATGAAAAATACAGAAATATAAAACATACCTTCTGTCTATCACTCATGAAGGTGAGTGGAATATTGGCTGGAAATGGTCCAAAGAATTCCTGGAAATAATAAAAAAACCAACTCCAAGCTTCCTTGTTTTCACACTCTACAACAGCAAAAGCTAATGGAAACAAACTATTGTTCCCATCAAGAGCAACAACAATCAACAGAATGCCCCCAAATGCACCTTTCAAATGGCAGCTATCAAAGCCAATAAATGGCCTGCAACCTGCCAGGAAACCATCTCTTTGTGCCTTGAAAGAGACAAACAATCTTAGAAATTTAGGCTCTACCAGAACGTTTGGCCTATCATAGTGAATTTTCATGATGCTTCCTGGGTTGTGCATCCTCAATAGTTCAACATATTTTGGTAATTTTTCATAGGCCTCACTGTGTGATCCTTCTATCTGTTCCAAGGCTTTCTTTTTTGCCCTGTAAATTTGCATTCTACTTGGCAAGACTCCATGCTTCTGCATTTCAGCCTTTACTCCCTTGCTTGTCATCTCTGGGTGATCTCTCATAACAGAAATTAACTTCTTTGTTATCCAATCTGATGTTGCTTCTGAATTTTTCCTATTCATGACACACGTATGCTCAGGTGTATATGTCTTAACCATGAATGTGATTGTATCACCAACTGGAGATGCATAAATCCTCCAATTACACCCCTCAGCACCACACTTGGCAGTGCACCTGCTCTTTTCATTTTTTAACCTCACCAATGGAAATCCTTTTTGAATAGCATAGTCCTTCAACACTGCTCTAAATGCATCCACATTGGTAAATAGCATCCCTTTCTCAAACTCAATGTCCTCTCTTGGATTGTAAGTCCACATTTTTGACTGCATGATTGATCTCATAGGATCAGTCTCTTGGTCAGATTCTGAATCAGGGACAACTTGTGCATCCTCTATTTCCTTATAATCAGACAAGTCATTTTCCTCCTTATCACTACTAGAAATTAAGGTCCTATCTTCAGCTATGACATCTTCCAAGTCACTATCTATGTCATCCTTCCATGAGTCATCAGAACTAGAAGCATAAATCTCATCATCACCCTCACTGTCAACTACAGGAATAGGAGTATTTTCGATTCCTATGTCTTTCTGTGCCACAATAAGTTGGTTATTCCTGTAATCTACCATATTCTCCTCTGTAGTAGGAATAATAATATCCAGGTGCAGCAAGTACAAGTTTATAACAAGATCATTTTCATGAAGTTTGCACATATCAAGAACTGATTTGTCACTACTGATGTCCATAAAGCCTGTTGTCCTAGGAATCGCACATTTCATATGCACAAGCATGTTCAAATTTTCAGACAAATCATTCATTGCCTTATCAGTAACATTACCAAGAAGGTCAATATATTGGTAGTTCTTTGGATCGACATTAGGAATTCTGACAGTGTTTCCCATGTAATGGACTAGAATATCATGTGCAATAATTCCTTCCATCCTACATATCAGTGTGTTTGCAAGAAAAGTTTGAATCAGTCGCTATCAGGATCACATATTCTCACAAGGGACATGGTATAACACACACATGCTTAATCAAAGTCAAACTCAGGTTGCAAAGCTAAGCTACAAAGTTAAGCTACAAAGCTAAGCTGTTCT